AAAGTATTTTAAGTCAGCAAATGTTTTTTTAAAAATGAGTTGTTTTATAGAGTCAAAACAGTATGCAGTTGTAAACTATATTAGGTGTTAGTGTTCCTAAAAAAACAAACGCAGCAGGAAATGAAAATGATATTCTGACCCTTGCGTGTGAACTTTCTAAATGAACACCTACTATTACGAGCAAAATGTGACAGACGGCCTTTACTCTAAAGCCTGCTGCTTTCTATCCCTGGCAGTTGACATGTCATAAAGTGCATACACGCATATACACGCAAACATATTCTCAAACATAACTCACAAACACTGACCTGGTCTGACAGAGGAGACAACCATTTAAAACTGCAAAAGGAGCAGCTCTCTGTATGTATGAAAGCAACAGTAAAAGCATTGACAAAAAATCCAAATGAGATGACAAGACTGTTAATTGAGTCCACATTAATCCAGATCATTTTAAAAAAAACCTCCATCCACACTTTCCAACCTGTCATAAATGTATTTTAAATGAGAAAGTTGTCTATTGATAAATATATTTTTACTTAACTGCATATCACATTCAGTCTTTAAATATTATTTTATTATTACACTGCATTGTTTTACCCTGAAATGCTCAGACATGACATGCTAAAAACTACCGTGCATCTGCATTTAATGAAATAAAAGCTTAGTGAAATGATAGGGAGACAGCACCAAAAAAAAAAAAAAAAACAAGTCTCTCATTTTAATAATATTTCAGCAGTCAATGCTGCATTCAGGTCACACTTAAAGGGACAGTACACCCAAACATTTCATTCATATTGAAGTTAATGTTAATGCAACGTTAATTTCTTTCTTCTGTTTAGACATTATATTGAGAACCGTGGCATCCCTAGTTCCTACTATGAATATTGAACCGTTCGGTATGACCTCCACGTTCAATTTGCGCTTGTGAATTGCGTTTTCTCGGTTTTGCGTTTAAATAATTGATGTGCATTTTAGATCTCCCCGAATTGACTGTGTGTGCCTGTAAGTCCATGAGCTGAGATGAGGAAACTCCTCCCTGCGAGCAAATATCCAATCAAAGTTAGGGGGTCGCTTGACCATCATTTCACAATTTCACTCAGCGAGCGGCGGTGAAATGAGGCAACAGTACAAGGAAGCGCCGGCGTCTTTCAAATCTGCGGTGTAAGGACATTTTGATTTTGCTAGTAAGTATAATGCCAATAAAAGATAAACCGGTGAACAAAAAATAACTGTGTGCAAGCAGTGTTTTACACATATAACAATCGCTTCACATCTGCAGCGCCATCACCCAGCAATATCACTGTCTAAAGGCAGGATAGCAGAGAAGGTAATAAAATCCTCCAGATAGCAACAATCCCTCGCTGAATTCTTCAAGCAAACACACCCAACTGGTTCTGAGAGACACATCAATTAACAAAGGCAGTGCGGGTGTTTATTGCTAAAGATTTGCAGCCTTTTTCCGTGATTGGAGATGCAGACTTTTGTCATCTTATAAAAGCACTCGATCCGCGTTACAGACTACAGTCTCGCATTTTTTCGGCACCGAGATAATTAAGATGGTTCATTTATGTTTACTTACGTACAAATATGTTTATTTGAAATGGCCAATTTATCTTTATTAACTTCACATGTTTATTTTCAAAGTGTAGGATTCCCCAGTTTGTACATAGTCTACCAGCAGCTGTGAGATTTCAGCATCCATTTTTTTATACAATATACTATTAAAATAAAACAAAATGAGTACTGCAATAAATTGTTTTTATTTTTTTCTCCTTAACCTCTTACTGTTCCTATTTCCTATAGAATAAAAAAAACAAGTGTCAAGCAATGAGAACCCAATCGAACTGAAAACCATGTTAAAAAACCGAGGTATGTATTGAACCGTGGGTTATAACTATATTGTTGCATCCCTACTAGGAACAAAGCTGTGGAAGTAAATCTTCCATTGTGTTCCACCAAAACAAAAATTCAGGCAGGTTTAGAACAAATGAATGGTGAAACTATTTAAACAGTGAACTCTCCCTTAAAAGTTGTGGCAGCCAAGTTGTCCAAAAAGCTGCTCTTGAACACACCCAAATGTGTCTGCGTGTCTAAATCAGGAGAATCAATAGTCTGCCTTGTCATTTTGAAAGAGAAAGTGAAACCACACTTGCAGATATGGAACTGTAAAACAAGCAGCACTTGGTTTCTATTTGAATTTGAATCAAGTTTATCTGCTTGCCTGTGCAAACACAAATGAAGGCAGAATTGTAGCCCTCCTGAGAATTCTTTGTCGGTCACAAAAGTACTATTTAACAGACAATTCAAACAAAAACTATATGTTTTCCTTGTGATAAAATAAGTTCACACTACGGTGATGTTTTCAAATGTATCTACTTATGAAAGCCTCTGCAAAATCATGTGAACATAAGCTCGAAATGTTGAGTAGACGATTCATTTAAGCATACAGTAGATGTTTTCTTTTCTGATGTATTTTAATATACTGTAGCTAATTTTGATAAATTAGCTATTACTTGACAGATTTTCCCTTTTTTATGCTGTTATGCAAGCATTGTATTTCACAAATGCAAGGTGACTGAAATTGAAAATGAAAACAAAAGATACTGAGCAATTAATAGTTTAAAAAGTATTAAAAAACTATAATTTGAAAACATGAAATTTTGAAAACTGAATGGAAACTAAATTGTTAAGAAATAAACTTGCAGGACTCAATTTATGTCCTGCGGCAAAATAATTTTTATAATAATTTTAGTGATCTGCTTGTGGTAGGTCAATTTATTTTTATGCTTTTGATGAAGTAGCATTCAACTTAAGAGCTCTTTAGACCATGCACTGGACCGTTTCTCCGTGTTTCGCTGGTATGTCTATAAATTATTTAGGGCTATATATTTATTCGTTTTTTATTTACAATAATTAAGACATAAAATGAGATAGTAAAATATAAATCATATATTTCTGTTTGTTTGCATCCCTACCCTTTGTGCCCCTTGGCGGCATAGTAGTGAACTAATCCTCAATCCTTTACTGGTATTTTTGAAGTGTCACCCACTGTAGCCGCAGAATACCACATTATTAAGTAATTATGATACACCAGTGACCATCAATATTACAATACTGTCCAAATAGATGGAACTGTCAAATACTGCAGGCAATTTTGGGTTTCAATAAATTACGTCTGAGAGAGACTCATCTGGAAGACTGCTCTAGAGAAATAAAACACACCAAGCATCGACGTGTGTGAAAGTTTATGAACCAATCACATTGGATTCAGTTCACAAATCTTACTAAATGATTTACTCCAAATCAATTTCCCTGGCTCTATCTGATCTGTTGGGTGAATAAATGGGCCAGTTCTCTTTTTTTGATGAACATTTTTTCTGTATAATTGTTAATTACAGCACATAGTCTTTTCTACTACCATACATCACTGAGTCCATTATGAAACTTGGCCGCTATGAGCCGTTGTGGCGTCTGGGACGCAGCAACACTTCGTCTTCTGTCAAAAACCACCTCACTGGCTTTAATGTGATACTTTATTTGTACGGTTCCTTCCAGCTCCATCTTTAAAATTATTCCATCCATCCAAGGCAGTACAGTCTGTTCACTTTGTTTTTTGTTCCTGTGACATTAAATATAACCTTTGTTCTGAAAACCTCTGAGTTCGATGTCAACACTGTGGTTCAAAAAGTTCTCCAAGAGCTATTACTGCTTCTGAATGATGTCTATCAGTTTCCATTGTCTACATCAGGGGTCTCAAACTCGCGGCCCGCGGGCCATTTGCGGCCCTCAGTGCAATATTTTGTGGCCCGCACCGACCGCTGTACACTGACAGAATCAGCGGAGCGGGGAGAGAGAAGCGCTCCCCGCTCCGCTGATTCTATCCGTACACATCGGTCACTGGCATTTCCCGCCCGCCGTGTAAACAAAGGGGCGGGGATGCCGGTGACGTCACCACGCACCCCACCCCTTTGTTAGACGCTGTGACGGGCGGAAAGTAGGAGGGAACTCGCGCCGGCCAGAACCAAGGTAATCTGTTCCCGCCCCTGCCTGCCATTTAGCTACTTATCTGCAGCCTGCCACCTACCTAGCTACAGCCTGCATCTTATATATATTATAGGTAGATACAGACTGATGTGACTGGAGTGGGGTGGGGGTGTTTTATTTATACATATATACGCCTTTTGTTTAGGTGAGGGAATGGAAGTTTTGAGTGAGTTCCCCCAAGCCATACTGAGGGTCTCAACTGCTTCCGCTCTAAAGCCAAATGTGGTTCAGATTTGTGAGAAGAAGCGCTGTCAAGTCTCTGGCAGCAAGGAGTAGGCAAAAGATGCCATGTTCAGAAGAACTGTTCATAATCTTCACTCAATGTTCTATTAATGTTCAGGACACTTCATGTTCAGAAGAAATAATTAAAACTGTTAATAATGACATTTGAGGACTTTTTTTTTGTGAAATCCCTTATGCGGCCCAGCCTCACCCAGACTTTGCCTCCTGCGGCCCCCAGGTAAATTGAGTTTGCGACCCCTGGTCTACATTGTAAAAATGATCCATACACCAGCATGGGGCTAACACATCTTACAAAGTGGATAGATGTGTTTTGTGGCCAAAATTTATTTTTAATAAACTCAAAATCATAAACATTCAGTGGCTGATGAATGCACATTCTTCTTGGCTGATGTCCGACTTGACATATGCTGTAAAACACATTCAAAGCAGCAGCTCGGGGAATAAACACGTCTCAAAGGAACTTGCCAAACAGTTTGTTTACCAAAGAAGACGATGACAAACAAGAAAACTAGACTTGATATTATTGTATAATGTTACACAGTTTATTACTCTAATCTTTACTCTAAAATTGCAAATCAATGGTTCACTTGCTTCATTCACTCATTCCGAGTACAATAATGTCTCTATAATACAAACATCTGATCAATCCTTGTTTCAATATACCACTATCTCACACAATGCAGATGGAAGCACAGGGATGAGTGTGGCCTTACCTGACACGATTACTGCAGAATTTGGTAAACTGGGGCTGACTGATGAATATTAGTCTGGAATCTTCCTGGTCTGCTAGAGATGTTTTCTCAGACGTGTCTTCTGTTTTCTCATAACCTGAGGGCGAAAGAGAGACAAATGGTCAAACGCAAAATAAACAATGCGAAAAGCTTTTATGAAACAACAGCCTTTATTTGACAAAAGCAAAGGCTAACAGATCTCCTCAATGGAAAAGAGAGAAATGTCTGCCATCATTTACTCCCCATACACTAGTCACAAACATGTTTGAGTTTCTTATCCTGAGCATTAAAAACGGAAGACATTTATATATATATATATATATATATATATATATATATATATATATATATATATATATATATATATATATATATATATATATATATATATATATATATATATATATATATATATATATATATATATATATATATATATATATATATATATATATATATATATATATATATATATATATATATATATATATATATATATATATATATATATATATATATATATATATATATATATATATATATATATATATATATATATATATATATATATATATATATATATATATATATATATATATATATATATATATATATATATATATATATATATATATATATATATATATATATATATATATATATATAT